GGCAGGACCCCTGATGACCTTTGAGGAGTAGAGAAACTTTTGGAAGGAAGGGACTTCATAGACCTGGGCTAGCAGGAAACAAGGGGTTACACAGGCCAATTGGAAGGAAGTGTTATTAGAGAGTTTGAAAATCTGAATGTTAAATGCTGAAGAAAGTAGTCAGAGTTTGAGGTAGACCCAGGAAAGGGCTGGACATTCCTGTGGACAATTGCTGGCCCCATTTTCTCAGAGTGCTTCTGCAAGCAGAAACCTGCAGGACTTCTGCAAGAAGGTTCATGAAAATGAAGCAGAAGTACCCTGTTGCCCTAATGAATTTCATCTATATTTGCATCTATCTTCTGCATACATTTTTGAATGTCTGATTTAAGATAACCCAGAGGGAGCATGACTAAGCAAATAATAGGGAGTGAGTGTGGCTTGGGGGAGTGATTGAGAGTGTGGAGATGAAAAGATGAATCCAAAGACAGGACAATTTTCGTGGTTTCAAACTCTTAACCCTAGAGAAGCAAAAGATAGACATAATCAATATCTAATAAAGAGGGGGAATAACAAGTTTGCAAGGACAGTCCTAGCAAACACCACTTTAGCCATGTGATCAAGGTTAAAATCAGCAATAATACATATGACATCGTATCTGTTACCGTGCACTGAGAAGGGCTCTGTGTTACCCTTCCTAATAATCCCACTTACCCAACAAGAAGTGGAATGAGACTGAGAATACTCTACAGAATAATTGGGAGTATTCCTCAGTCAAATCAAAAGAGACAATGGAAGACTGAGAAATGCCCAGGAAGGCTTCTGGTTTGGACACTGAAACAAAAAAAAGGACATTAGTGAGCAAACTCATGAAATCTTGTAAGTTCTGTACTTTCAGTAATAGTATTTATTGTATTCTTTGTTTTAAATATGTTCTATGGTCATATAAGCTGTTAAGCCAAGAGGAAGCTTGGTGAAGTCTTCATGAGATCTTCCTGTACTGTTTTTGTGACTCTCCTATGTACCTTTAGTTAACTTGAAAAATTAAATTCAAAAATCAAATCTAGGTGACAGAATCTAATGGATCAGTCAAAGGTACATCCCCTTATTAATTTTTGAAGTCCAAGCCAGTTTCCACGCCCAAGGGGGCAAATGCACTGAGCTAGTGGTCAGGTGTGACACTTACTTGCAAGAGGTTACTGATGAAACAGATCTGAAAAGGGCTTGAGGCATTAGATAGGATAGAAATTTACAGAATGATAGTGTTCCTCATTTATTCAGAACATAAGTTGAGCCAGGTACTGGGATAAGTTCTTTAAATATTTTCTCACTTAACTTTGAGAGAGCTGTTAAGATTTCCCGGTCTACAGATGAGACTGTTGAAGGGACAGATCACACAGCTGAGAACTGGTGGTTCTGGGACTCAAATCCAGTGTGCTTGACTCCAGAGCTCATATTTCACAGAACTGTTGTCTTCTCAGGGATGTCCCTTACTCAGTCCACACCTCATGGTTACCGTGCTGGAATGGAACAGGGAAGAGAAACAAGGAAGCAAGAGGCTGGGAATGGCCTAGAATGGGCTGGTCAGCTGGAGCTGTCCATGGTGCTGGTCAGAGAGACACATAGCTGGAGAGTCTACAGGATATGGTGTATGGGGAGACATCTGGGAAGGCTAGTAGGAAGGAGCACTGCTCAGAATAGATGGAAAGAACAGGTAGATGTGGTGACAGCTCCTCCACTGATGAGGAGTTAGAGGAGAGACACTTCAAGATTTGGTCATTATGTATACAGGAGCTGGGGAGATAGAGGTTTGCTATCAGGTCTGACTTAAAGCCAATATTATTCAGCTCTAGTGATGGGTGAAATCTGGAACTACCTGGGTACCTGTTGATGAGTGGTCACAGACTGCTGTGCCCTCCTAATGTCCTCTCCCCACCGCCTGTCTCCCCCACAATCCACCAACTACATGGTTAAGACCAGGGCACTGGGACCTGGCTCTAGGGCTAGTTGACTTCCATTCTCATATCTTACCAACTACTAAGTATTTTAAATACTGTCAATTTGTCCCCATTTTATTGATGAAGAAAATGGGGTTCTGTCATGTTTAACAGTTTGCCTGAAATTATTCCACTATTAAATAATTTCAGTTTGCCTGAAATTATTCCACTATTAGAACAAGTACTTGAACTCAAGTCATCTGGTATCAAACCCAATATTTCCCCTTCTACTCCCCTGCTGTTGGCCTGCAGGTCTATCTTTGGTGGGACAATGAAAAGAGGGAGAAATTATGTGGGAGTTTGCACAGGAGAGTTAGAAAATCATTTGAGGCTCCCAGGCAGAAGGGAACACTTTTCTTTGAGTTCTCTTGTTATATGGTAGTTTACACTCAATCTCCTGCCAGTTGATGCCCTTGCAGTCCTTCCAGCTATCTTTAAATGCCCCCCTCTCCCCCTCAGCTGATGTAAGGAACATGATTCTAAGGCACTGGGTGCTCTGTTTGCTCCTAGACTCGGCCCTTAACCACGCCAAAGTCACATTTAGCTACAGCCTTCTTTCACTCTCTACCCCCTCAATTTAGGCTTGGAAGAATTATAACACTAATTTAGGAGGTCAGGTGCTGCTGTGGGAGGACCCACCTCCTCATCTCCTTCCCCTAAGTGAAGTACATTTTGTATGCAGACCTGATTTCAGAACCAACACTGGAAATGGAGTCCAAGTCGTAGGGGAAAGAAAGACTTTGCAAGTGCTGGAACTTGCCATCTGGACAGCAGGTCCTCCTGGTATCTCCTTCTGTCTTTCTCCACCCCAGAGCAGCAACAGTAGTCTCCTTTTTGGAGAAACAGAAGTGGGAGGAGAAAAACTTCCCACCTCTCCAGTGTGTGGCAAGGAGACTGGTAGGTGACAGGAGAGGCGGACACCCAGAAGGGCAAGTGACTTAATTATAGGAACCTCCCACTTAATGAATGACCTCCCTCTGTGTGTGTATCTAATTTTGATCATCTACCATGTGTCACGCACTTTACCCATGACTTGGTGATGCAATCCCCACAGTTGCTTTTTGATAATTATCCCCAGGTAGCAGATGAAGAAACTGAGATTCCAAGAGACCCAAGCTCACACAGCCAGGAAGTGGCAGTCAGAACTAATCTCAAGCCTGCCTGATTTCCCAACCAAGTGTCTTCTGTAACCCATAGGGGACATAGGGACATAGAGGATCAGAAGAGATATTTTGTGTGTGCTGAAGCTCAAACCACCCAGTGTGTATTATCTTTATTGCCCCCACACCCAGCTTTCAGCCAGGAGGCTCTGAGGCTACCTCCTACCCCTTCACCTTTTCTCTTTCTTTCACATCCTAGTCCTCATCAATCTTCGGAATTAAAAGCCACCTCTTTCATAGCAGCTCCCAGTGTCTGTCCTGGAGGATGTGGTTACCAGGACCCAGCACCCACAAGCTCTTCTAGATTCCAAGCTTCTGAAAGGGGGGACTTAGAGGAAACCCTGGCTTCTCTCCCTCCTTAGGCTCAACCTTCTGCCACGCCCCTTTCCTTGCTGTTAGCCTGCAGGGGTAAAGTCCACCTTGGGCCTCTCCCTGGGAGCACCATGTCAACCAAGGTCACTTGCAAAGGGAGTTCCTAGCAGGCAGCCAGAACCCCATAAAATCAGAACCTTCAAGGCTGTACTAAGATTTTCCTTTCACGGTCTCTAGCCCAGAATCCACCAAGGATCTAGCAGACAGCGCTCTAGGGGTGTACTCCTTCCGTGAAGAGGTGCAGGGGTGGGCAGCTCTCAATGAGATTGAGCTTCAGCACACACAAAAGATCTCTTCTGATGCCCCGTGTCCCCATATCCCCTTCGGGTTTTCTCACTGGGATTCCTGAGGCCACCACTAAGTTTTGCCCCCAGAGTTTACTCCTCCTTATTTCTTGTTGGCTTGAGAATTGACAAATACTCTCTTTCTTTGTCCTTCAGGTCCATCTGAGTCAGGCTGGCCATTTCAAAAAAAAAAAAAAAGCTTAAAGGAAAACAAAAAGGAAATCATTATAGAAACTACAAACAGCATAAAAGTCATCATGTCCAAAGTGCAGAATAATGCTAAAGCCAGTGAAAAGCTCACCCACTCCCACATTCCTGTTTCCCAAGAAAATTAATCATAATTTAAAGGGCCCCCAGGCTCTGTCCATGTGATCTCCCAAGTCGCCAGAGGCCACTTGTCAGTACATCTTTCAACATTCATAAATAAACGGCAACTTTTCCCAAAATGAGAGTTCATTTTCTGGATTTGCTCCTAGATTCTTGAGGTCTCTTTCCCTAGTTACATTCCCTCTCCCATCGCTGCCCTGGGCAGTGAAACACCTTTCCCACAGATGAACTTTGAGAATTTTAGCTTCACCTTCCTAAGGACTCGTCGCCATTGTTATAATTAGCCCAAGCACATATGGACAGATGAAGAAATTAACTTCCAAAAATCCGGTTTACATATAACAATACTGTCTCCATATATTAATCTTCAGAGCTCTTCCAAAAAGTCAGCTTTGTGCTGGGTGGTTGCCAATGCCAAGGATACCTTCTCTCCCATCAACAAAAGGGATCTATTTGCAAAGCAACAGGCAGATAAGGAATGTCTATGGACTGCTTTTTAGTTAACAATCGGAAACACAGAATGAAGTTCTGGGTGAAATTCTACGGAGTCACCAACGCACATCAGCAAACAGGAACGACCTCCAGTCAGGTCCGGTGACAGTACATTCATTCGCTTTCTGTGAATTTGGTCTTCAGTTAAGGTCACGATTGCCGGACGTCACGACAACGAGGGGACCGACGCGACATACCATGCTGCGACGGGTAGAAGCCCAGTTACTGCTAGCAGGGTGCTAAAGAAGCACAAAGGACGCAGGACTAAAATTGGCGCTTTCACCTTCCTATGGCATGACTCATGCCGGCTGCCGTCGTTGCCTTGGGAAACCAGGACAGGCGGCATCCTGCGCGTCCTGTATCTATGGAAACGACAACATGGCGGCGGCGGCGTGAATTCTGAGCGTTGGTCTCCCGGATCCAGGGAGCGGCGCGCGTGGCAAGTAAAGGTATCTGTCCCGGGAGACCGCTTCTTCCCGGAAGTGGCTAGGGGTCCCCTCCATGTCCTGTCTCTTCAGAGAGCCCCCTAGGACTGCATCTTGGGTGACACCAATCAGACAAGGTTCCGAAGGGAAAGGAGGAGCCGCTCTAAGTATATTTTGTCCCTTCATTTTACCTGTTTCCTCCCTCGACTCACAACATCCCGTCACTTTTCCTACTGGTCATTTTAGGAATGTTTAGGAGGGAAATTAGCAAATAAGAAAATTGAGGTATGTTTTTTAAAACCCTCGAGATTAGAAAATCGGCGTTTAAAACACCACTTCCTTGGCCTAATGTCTGCACTATGATTGCAAATGAACGAGGCTTTTGGAAGAGTATTGCAGGCTAGTGTGGTAGTTACGTTTGTAATTTACGTAACAGGTTTGTCTAGGGCTTAAAAAAAACTTTATTCGTGTTTCACATCAACTGTGAAATAGAATAACCCTCACTTTATAGATGGGGAGACGGGGGCTCAGATTTGGGGAGACAGCCATCTCAAGTGAATCTGAGCAGATATGGGGACCCAGCTTTCTTTGCTCACTCCCCTGAAACCTGTTCTGAATAGGCTTTCTGCTTCATTGTCTTATTTCTTCTATATACTCGGTGAGATGGTTAATATTTTGATTGAAGACTGTCAGAGCCAGGAGCATTAATGAATCAGGCCGGGACTACAAAGTCATCCAGTAGCAGAAAAGTAATGGATGCTTCTCCCTGTTTCCTCAGCTTACATTTCTTTGATTCCATCTGAACATCCACTTGACAATTGAAGAGAGGTGCTTTGCCTGTCTGCATTCTGTAAATGCTTTGTGAATGAATGTGTCACTAAGCCTTTCCCATTTCTGGAACCTGCTGCCAATTAGGATAACTGAATCAACAGAATCTTTGTTTTGGATGGGGGGCAGGGGAAGGGATGAGATTGTGTATATTTCTTAAGCATAATCATAAAATTATTTACTAAATTGTAATGCTCAAATGTGAAAAGATGTAATTTTAGGCCAAAGAAAAGGCCTATTGTAAGGGCTAAAATACATATGAAAGCCTTATAACTACTTGGCACATGAGAAGTTCTCAGTAAACATCAGTAGAAGTCCTTATTTTTTTCCAAAGATTTATTTATTTATGCATACAGAACTGGGGTACAGGCCAGAGGTGCAGGGGGTGTGAGGATTCATCAGAGACCGAGTAGGGAGCAGGACAGGCAGATTTACTGAAATACACTGCTGAGGGGAGCAATGGATGAGTCAGGAGAGGTCTGCCTCGCCATGTGGGTCAGCTCCCTGGCAGGGGGTCAAACTTGAGCTGCAGTGTCTGCAGACAGTTTCATAGTGCTGTGCTTTAACCAGTTGTGCTCCCACAACTGGTTTATTTGAAAAGATAGGGAAGGATACTAAGTCATCTGAAAAATGTGTTCCAAAAAGTCAGTATTACATCACTAATATTACCGGTAGGCATGGAGGGGGTGGGAGGACAGGGGTGGGAGGCATGTGTAGAAAAAAGCCTGAGGAGGAGGAAGGAGTTCGTGGTGATGGAACCAGAGCTTGGGGCCCTTGTGTGTCTCCTAGAAAAGAGCCAAGGATGCTTTGAGCATTTGGTGAAAGCTGTGGACATTCTCCCTGGAAAAGCACACATGTCCATACACATGGCATTATATATTTGCATGAATTTGCCTATCTTATTTGCTTATATATTTGCATATCATTTGCAGTTGGTGGTCTATCCTCTGCTCTAGAGGTTGAGTTATTTGTTCTGGGATTGAGTCGTTATTTCAGTGGATGCTTACTGTAAGCCCTAGTGTGTACTAGTAGAGGAAGTCCAGGAGACCAAGAACTGTCCTCTTCCACTTGCCTCTTTCTTGCCCTCTATTCCCTTTCTCACAGGAGGCAAGACACATTCGGAGGAAAGAAAGAGTGTAAAAACCAGATAAAGGTAATGCATGGGCTTCAGCAGCACTCCCCGGGGGCTCGTGAGAAAGACCAAGTGTAGCCATGGAGGCCAGGGCTGTGTGGCCTTCTCCCCAAGTCGCTCTCCAAGGGCAGGCAAAGCTCCGCATCTCAGACCTTGTCTTCAGGCTCGCTTCCCTTGGTGCCATCTGTCACCAGAGCTGGAGTCAGGCACTTCTCGGTGACGATGATGGCCGTGCGAGTCTACTCCATGGACTCCAGAGAGAGCTCTTCCCATGTCCTGCTGTCTCCCCGCTGACCCCTTCCCAGCCCCAAACTGGCAGTGCTTCAGCTTGACCAGACAGCTTCCCTTGGACTTGTGTTCCAGGCACCTTGATGCTCACCCAGACCTCCCTGGGCCCCAGCACGAGACTGCAGGACAGCGGGGACCTCACCATGAACTCCGAGTCTTGCTTGAGTGCCAGCACCATGGCCATCCCCACCATCACCAGCAGCAGTGGCTGCAGTAGCAGTAACACCAGTGCCCTGGTGAGGACAGTCAGGGCGCATGGAGCGGGGAGCAGCAGGACGGGAGGGGGGTGGCGGAGCTTCAGGGCATGAGGAAGCTGAGGGGCCTGACTCTTGCTCCTTGTCTAAAGTCCGGCACTAGACCTGTACAGCTGGAGCACCCAGCTGAGCCAGTGCTGGTGGCTTCGAGTGACTGGGTGTGGGGTGGCGGGGGAGTGAGTCGGAAGCCGACACACTAGCTTGCAGAAAGCTTTGGCGGTCTTCACCCAAAGGGCTTTTTCTTTGACTACTATATGGATGGTGCTTACCCTGCTGTTCTCTCCCTACGTAGTCTCACAGGGACGTGGAAAGTGGTCGTCTAGGGCTGTGATGGTGGGTTGTGTGGGTCTGTTGTGTGTGGTGGTTTCATGTCTCCTTAGATGAGGTGGGGGTAGCAGGTGCCTCCCTGCCCCCCACCAGGGACCGGACCAGGGGTCACCTGGTCCCTCCATCTGTGCTATTGCAGGCACCTTGATCCTCAGATTCACTCACTGGTTCCCGCTCAGAGCAGGAGGGAGAACAGGAGAAGCTGGGGTATTCCTCCTCCTCCCTCTAAGCTTGGAATAGCATCTCCGCCAGCCCAGTTCCTGCCAGACAGGCTCTGGGTCCTGAGAACCCCACTGTTTCCCCTAACTTGGAGGTGGAAGCAGTTTCCCAACGTAGCTACTTTCTGGATGATTTCACCATTTCCTGGCTGTGCGTTAAATTCCTTTTAAACACCCAGAGGGGCTTCCAGACACCATTCTCCTGGCTGGACACCAACTGATATTTACAGTAAACCCTTTGATCACCTGAGGCACCTGTCCTTGTGGGCAGTCGGGAAAGAAATCCTCTGTCCACCCACAGGCGCTCTGCGAATCCTGAAACCGAGAGTGGCTGCCGGGAGAAGGGGTTTGCCGTCTCGCCCACCAGTGTAATCCTGGCAGCTAGCTCAGTTTCCTGCACAAAACAGGAAGCCAACAAATGAAGATATCCTTGTATTACATAATGACATAAAAGCAAACCTGGTCAAAGATAAAGTAAAATGGGAGTGAGTCATGTACTCATGGCAATGACTGTGGCAGGAAGTTGTATCTGGTTCATCCACCTTGCCACAACGGGGGCTCCCCTCCCCCTCATATTGTCGGGGGTTGAGGCTGGAGCCACAGAAGGATTTTTGGTCAAGGGAAGCCAGGCACCTTGGACCGGTAGTGTCATCTGGCGGAAGCAATGCTCGGAGTGACCCCCAAGTCAGGACATGGGGTGGGGGTGGGTCACAGGCGCGCTAGCTCTTTCCTCAGCTCCACCAGCCAGGTGAGGGGTGGAGGTGGAGCTGCGGAGTATTCCTGCAGGGTGGAAAGGTGCCTGGCATGGCCGGCTTCAGTCAGGAGAGGCTTCTAAGGAAAAGGGTGGGATGAGGAGGAAGGGGTGTGTAGCCCCTGAGAGAAGAGGTTGTCTGATGGTGTGTGGGGGACAGAGCAGGTGCTAACACTGCATTCGTGTGGGGGGTGGAATGGCCAGATGGGGTGCCCCAGGGAGACGTCAAGAGCAGGGACAAAGGGACCCTAGCTGGAAAACCACCCCCCGCTCTTGGAAGAGGTGGGCCTCAGGGCCTGTCTGCTCCTCATCCTCTCACTCCAGGCCATCTCCCAGGGCCGAGGGGTGGAGGTCATTATTTTCTGGACCTTTAAGCTGAGTCTGAGTCCAACCTGCTAATGTGTCCTTTCTTTCCCACCTTCTTCCTGCCACCTGAAACAGCCTGCCAGCTCCGTGGACATGCAAATGTGCTTCCCAAAGAAGCCAGAGAAAGTGAAGAAGAGGGTCGTCTGGGGCATTGAGGTGGCAGAGGAGCTGCAGTGGAAAGGCTGGGAGCTAGGGAAAGAGATCACTAAGCTCTTGGTTCTAAAAAATCTATCCTTCAAAACCCAGAAGATGAAGTACAGGTACCGACCAGTATGAGAGGTCAGAGACCCAGCCCCTCAGCCCCAGCGCCCCAAAGCAGCTACTTAGAAAAAACAAAATCAGTAGAGTATATAAAACATGCAGTGGAAGACTTACCAAGAGTGGAGCCCACTGACCAGACAATGGAATAAGTGTCCGAAGCTCACCTTCACGTACTAGGTGACCCTCTCTTAATAGAACAAACTCTGTGCCCTTGAAATGAACCACTTTCATGATAATACCCTTGCTTGCTTTTTTTTTTTAAAGATTTATTTGTGCATACAGAACTGGGGTACAGGCCAGAGGCTCAGGGGCAGTGAGAGGCTTCACCAGAGACAGAGCGGGGAGCAGAACAGGCAGATGGACGAAGTACACTGCTGAGGGGAGCAGCGGGCGGGCCAGGAGAGGTCTGCCACGCCATGTGGGTCAGTTCCCTGGCCAGGGATCAAACTCATGCTCACTGGCTGCAGACAGCTTCATAGTGCACTTTAACCCCTTGCATCACCAGGGAGGCGCCACCTCTTATGAATATTCTTAAAGTCTGCAGTAGCTATAGTTAACCAACCCTGGAACCCTGCAGCGCTACCAAGCTCTGTGCTCAGAACGGCACCTCTGGCTCTCGGTGTCTCAGCCATGGTTTCTCCAGCTGAGTGCTGAGGGGGTTGGTTAAATCAGGGCGGCCTCCCCTCCCCCACCCTCAGTGGCTACCCATGGACACAAATGCTGCTCCCCTGCCCCCCATATCTCTGGTGAAGGTCCGCTGTGACAGACCCACGGGCTCATTCCGGGGTCTTTCTTCCATGGCCCCGGGACTCACGCCCCCTCAGTTTTCCAGGATTTTCCTAACCCTGTCTCTTCTAGTTTTCTGAGCCCTGAATCTGAGGTGCTTCTCCCCTGGCTCTCACCTGCAGACCCCCCAAGAGCAAGTTCTTCTTCACAGTCATCCCTCAGCCCATCTTCCTGAGCCCGGGCATAACCTTCACACTCCCCATCATCTTCCGGCCTCTGGAGGAGGTAAGGTCCACCGTGGCCAGAGGAGGGCAGAGGGCAGGGAGGGACACGGGAACAGAGACCCCTGAACAGGATGAGGTCAGAGCAGCAAGGAATGACCCTCTCCCCCTTTGGACACCCTACCAACTGCTGCCAACAGTCCAGCTTGCCAAGCCTGGTGGGACAGGCCCTGGTCCAGGCCCTCACTGGACAAAGGGTGTTCCTCATTGAATGTTGGGGTCCATAGTCTGCGACTCTTTGGGCCATCAGAAACCCTAGATCCCCTGACTTCTTCCTACTCTCAAAACATCTCCCCCAAATACTTTTTTCGCTATAATTTGGGCCTCAAAGCTCTAAGCCAGAATAGCTGGTGTACAGATAACTGGCCTATTCCTCTGAGGCTGAAATAGAGGGTCCGGCCCAGGCCTCAGTGGTTGTGTTGGGGGCATGGCCAACGGCTGGGGTGGTGTGCGTGGCCCCCAGGCCCACCTGGGAGCCACTGGTCAGTGACGGCTTCTACCACGCGGCCTGCCCGCCCCACCCTGCTGCTCTGCAGAAGGAGTACCTGGACCAGTTGTGGTTTGAGAAAGAAGAGGGAGTGTTCAGTGTGGACCTCAGGGCCACCCTGCCCTGTCACATGCTGATCTGCCCGCCGTCCCTGCAGCTGCCCACGTGTGCCGTGGGGGACATGGTCGAAGCTTGGTTCTGCCTGGACAATGTGGGGTGAGGTGGTTTGTTGAGAGTCTGAGGAAGACACCTGGAGAGGAGAGACTGGCCTGCCCACTGGGGAAGCGGGCAGGGGGTGTAAAGAGGGCTGCCCAGGGCCGCCGCCGTTCTAAGCAGGGGCAGTGGTCAGAATGAGCACTGTGACTCTGACCTGCCCCCGTCCCTGACCCTCCCCCAGGGACCTGCCCTCCATCTACAACTGGGAGCCCCCCAACCCATTCCAGATGCTGCCCACCACGGGGCTGCTGGAGCCAGGCCAGACCTGTCGCATCAAGGTGACCTTCCAGCCCCCCATGGCTGTCATCTACGACGTTGAGGCCTCGTGCTGGTATGGGGAGAGGGGCCAGCAGAAGTGCAGCATCCAGCTACAGGCTGTGGGTGAGCCCCACCTCTCACCTGTCCCCAGAGCCCACCTGCTGTGCCTCCCTGGCTCTGGCTCTCCAAGCGTCGTGTGTTCTCCCAAGCTTGCTCCCGACTTGGCCCCATGGCACAGGCACCATCTTCCGCACCCCTCCCCCACACTTGCCAGTCCCACCGACAGACCTTCCTTGGTGTCACAGACCAGTTGTTCCCCCGGGGCACCTGCCTGTTTCAAAGGACTGTTCAGCTGCGCGCTTTAAGCTTCTAACGGGGAGGCCCTGGTGAGCTCCCCACGATGCCCCATTTCTGCCCCAGCCAAGTGTGCACAGCTGCTGGTGCGCATAAGGCAGAAGTGCCCAGAGGACCAGGATGTGGAGGGCTTCCAGAAAGTGCTACACTTCGGCTCCGTTGCTGTGGGCTGCACTGCTGAGAGGCAGATCAAGCTGTATAACCCATCAGTGGTAGGCACCCCGTGTACTTACCGGGAGCGGTCAGGACTCGGAGGCCACGGGGCTGGGAACCCCCAAAACCCACTCCCTTTCCTGACGACCCTCCCGCTTCCTTTGGCCCTAAGCCTCACCTAGCCCATGCCTGTTGAAACACGAATGTGTCCCCCCTCTCCTCTCAGCTGGGGCCTGGGGTATCCGGTTTTCCCCAAGAGCAGCCACGTGGCCATCCTGACCTCAGGACCAGGGCGGGCCACGTTTGTCTTGGCCTCTTCTTTCCTCCTGGCAAGGGTCACCTCACCCAGTCAAGCTAGTGAGTGGGGCACATGTTGAACAGCACCCCCTGGGTGGACCCCTCTCTCTGACTTGCTCTCTCCTTCCCCGCTGACCTCACAGGTGAGCGCCCCCTTCAGGATCGAAGTGGCCCAAGACATGTTGGTCAAAGACTCGGCCTTCTCATGCCCCAAGGCTCAGGGCATCGTGGCCCCAGGAGAGAAGAAATGCGTGTCTGTGTTCTTCCACCCCAGGACTCTGGACGTCAGAACTATGGGCTACTTCTCCATCATTCCCTCTGGCTGCTCCTCCCAAACCCTGCTCAAAGTTGTTGGTTTCTGTAGAGGTACAGGCAACCCCAGGAGGCCTGGCAATGCCCCTGGGGGTAGGAGGGGGAAGTACCTTAATGAGGACTGGGAAACGCACCTTGCCTCAGGCCACCTCCTAGCCCTTCAGCCTGGGTGTCTGCTGCCCCCTGGTGGGCTCTCTGAGAAATCAGGCGAACTGTTCCAGCCTTCACCCTGCTGACCTCCCCGTTCTGCTCAGGCTCCTGGGGCTCTGGCCATTTCCAGCTTTTCCCCCTGCCCCCAGGCCGCACCTCCTCCAGTGAATGGGGCCCTTTCTGAGACATCTGCAGGGAGGCTGATGCCCCCCAGCCACAACCTGGTGACAGCTCCTTCTCCTACGCCAGGTCCCGCTGTGTCCCTGCAGCAGGACTGCATTGACTTCAAGTGGGTCCCCCTCGGGGAGTGCTCCGAGAAGCCCCTGTGGATTGAGAACAAGTCAGACTGCACGGCCCACTTTCAGTTCGCCATCGACTGCCCAGAGAGCGTGTTCAACATCAGCCCCGCCTTCGGGACCCTGGTGGGCAAGACCCGCGTGGCCCTGCGCTGTGCTTTCCAGCCCACTCACCCCACGCTGTACTTTCGAAGGGTGGCCTGTCTTATTCACCACCAGGTAAGCAGTGGGAGGGGGGTGCGGAGGGGACCCCTGAGAGCTGAAGGGGTAAAACTGAGGCCCAGGGATGAAGACTGTGCGTGGCGCTCCACTCCCTGCATTCTGGCCTTCTGGAACGCGTGGCATCACCTCCTCCAGGGCCCGGGTCTGGTCAGGGGCCCATGAAATCTTGCTCTGCACCAGGTGGGTGTGCCAGCCTCACCCCGAGTGTAGCCAGCCCAGGGGGTCGCTGCGAGTGCTCACTCTCAGGCAGAGTGACCGGGCCCGGTGCTGAGCAGGAGCTGAACTCTGCTTCCCGGGCAATGCTGTAGGACCCGATGTTCCTGGACCTGGTGGGCACCTGCCACTCCGACAGCACCAAGCCGGTCATCCTGCGACCTCAGCATGTCGCTTGGTACCGCACACACCTGGTGCGAGGCCTGACGCTCTACCCCCCCGACATCCTGGGCATCATGCTGAGGGGAAAAAAGCTGGAGCAGGATAAGAACGGGGCCCTCATGATTCCTCTCGAGGTACAGAGCACTCCTCTGGTCCCCCTGGGGAGCCAGGCTACTCACCCCAGGTTCAGGCCCCCTCATCTGGCAACTCCTGGGCAGTCCGTTCCCCCAGGCCCCCACGGGCACCCTTAGTGGCTGTGTGGAGCTCTCCCAGAAAGAACAGCAGCAGAAGGAATGCCGCTGAGCCCATGCGTGTCTCCCTCATGCAGGAACTGGAGGACACGCCCGCCCCCAAGTATCCCCTCATCCCCCCCATGGCCGAGTACTTCTTTGATGGCACCAGCGATGTGGCCGTCTTCCCCCCGCCTGTTAGCATAGAGCCGACTGAAGTGGATTTTGGTGGCTGCTCCCCACCCGAGGACCCCAACCCTGCCCCTCTGTGCCTGATGAACCACACCAAGGGCAAGATCACAGTGGTCTGGACGCGTCGATCGGACTGCCCCTTTTGGGTGACTCCGGAAACCTGTGTGGTGCCTCCACTCAAGTCCATGGCCATGCGCCTGCATTTCCGCCCACCCCATCCCAACGGCTTCTACTCTGTGGAGCTGGAAGCCTTCGCTGCCTATAAGGTGTGTGCACACGGATCAGATGGGGTACGCAGAGCCTCACACTTGTGGGGGGCCGGAGGAGGTGCCGGAGCGTTGTTGCAGGGGCCAGCCTCTCCGCCAGGCCCTGCTTGCTGCTTCCCTGCCTCCTTGGCTGGACGGTGAACGTACTGGCCCCCAGGCTCATGGCCTGCCGTGACAGGGGGACTTCTCGACCTGCCTATTTATGGCTCTTGATAGGTGGCCTCCCGCCCGCCACCTCCTGGGGATAACTCAGCACAGTCAGCTGTAGTTCCCTGGGCCTCCTGCTAGTCCCGGAAATAAGAAGCGGGGCCTGTAAAGGGGGCGTGGGCAGGACCCAGGGCCTGGGCCTGCCAGACCCCAAAGTTGGGGGGTGGGTGCGGGTGTGAAAGGGGTGGGGGGCTTTCTCGTTAGCTCTGTTCTAAATAAAGGCTTCGGTAGGCTCTATGCTAAATGCCAGGGAAGAGTAGGGCTGTGCAGTGAAGACCAGAGTCCCTTACCCGCTGGGCAAGACCTCTCGTGTCTCTAAGCCCTGGCATTTTCACCTATAAACCTGGGGTCATAGCCAAACTATCGAGAAAGCTTTCCAAAGACGAGCGTCTCGTTAGCTCTGTTCTAAATAAAGGCGAATGCGGAGGTTTGTAGGAGGAAGGCTGTGTACACTGGGCTTTGCCAAGTCAGGTTTCAGGCTGCAGACTCTGTCCCGCCGCTCTCTGGACACGGCCACCACCGGCCAGATGTGGCCACTGGGGCTGAAATGCGGGGGTCCGAAAGAGGAAGTGTCGAGGTCTGACACACCCACACCTGGCTTTGGCCCAAAGGAAGTGGAAACTATCTCACATGCCACTCACCTACTGCTATGTTTAAGTGGCCAGATTTTGATCCTTTGGGGTTAAATGAAACCGATTAAGGTTACTTTCCGGTTTCTCTTGGGCGGTGTGGCCACTGGGACATTTAACCACACGGTGGGCCGGGGTTGGGTTCTGTTTCTGTGGCCTCCACCACACTGGGTGCTCAGTCGGGACCCGGGTACGCCGGAGGGGCCACCCCATAACTGGTTATGGGCACCCACTTCCGGGAGAGGCCCTCTGACCTGAGCCCAGTGTGGGACTCCTACAGTGCAGGGCTCCCCCCGGGTGGGAGGCAGGACTAGGAGCTTGTCCGTGGGTCCGGCCCCTGCAGGTCCTGCAGAGCTACAACAACATCGAGGAGGACTGCACCGTGTGCCCGTCCTGGTGCCTGACGCTGCGGGCTCGAGGCCACAGCTACTGTACTGCCTTGGAGCACCACATCCCCATCTACTCCCTGGACGCCCCCAAGGTGAGGGGCCCCCAGCGCCGTGGAGGTGGGACGGGGTGCTTAGTTTCTGCCTTGGCCCGAAGATCCCTCTCCTCTCTGATGGTCTCAGAAACCCCCCAGGGCCCTCTCTGGCCTCCCCCAACCCCCACTGCCAGGTCCTGGGGTCACTGAGGACTGTCCACTGGGCCACGGAGAGACCAGGGTGCTAGCTCACCCCCCTCTACCGGAAATATTCCCCGTTGTAACGCTCTCCGGTTTAAAACGCCAGCTTCATTTGTCTGTGTGTTGTTCACTGGGAAGCTGCTCAGGGCCCGGCCACCCACATGCCCTGCCCCTGAGGACCGCCCATGTCTGCAGGGCTCACAGAGCTGGCTTGCTGGCCCGCCCCTTCCTAGGGGTGTCCTATCTCCTGGCTCCTTGGAGTCCTGCCTGCCTTGCACCAGCAGGGTCACACCGGCTCCAACACACAGCTGTGGAGCCAGCCGGCCCCGGTTCCAGCTCCCCTCTCTCCCTCCACATCCCTTCCCAGCTTCCATTGCCTGGTTCATTCTTGTATCCGTCTTCTCTACCCTCCTGCCTCACACTGCTGGAAACATGCCACTTTGGGGCATATGCCTGGGGGCATCACACACCCCTACCAGCTACATCTCTCTCCAATCCCAAACCCGCTCCACCTCCGAGATTCAGCTCCAGGGTACCCCTGTGACGGCACGAGGGGGTCCTCGCACCCCACCCTGCCCCATTCCCTCGGCCGGCCGGTTCCTCCCGGGCTTTGTGGCCTTTACCGGAGGCCTCTGGAGCGTGTCCTGCCCTGCGTCATGCGCGCGTGCTGATTGCCCCAGCTGCCCGGGGCCCGAGTCAGCGGTGTCAGCCTGGTGCACAGCCCACGCAGCCCTCAGCACAGGCTGACCACTCTCCAGACACCTGAGGAGTGTTGGAAGCCACGATGCCTGGGGCTTTCCCTTTCTTAAAGTGGGGCTCCCTGCAGGAGAATCAGCTAGATGGAGCTGGCATGCCCCAGATCTTCTGAAACCAGGATTTCTGAAGTAGGTTGTCCAGAGGCACCCTAAAAGTGCAAAAACCTCTCCTTAGCCTGAGGAGGGTTCCGGGAGGCCCAACTTTCCTGGCACCACCAGCTCCTGTGGCCCCTCTTCTTCCTGTCTGGAAGTTTCTGGAGGACAGACGCGTTTTTTGGTGCCAGGCTATGGGCTCCCTCCCTCCCTGCTCCAGGTATTGACTGGGACATGTGAAGGCTTCGTGGCTCCCCACTGAGCCCACATAATGTATGCCTGGACCCGACCTTGGTTCTCTCTCCTCTTCCTGCACCCCAGCTGTTTCCTGCAGTGTCCCCAGGTGAACCCTCCTACTGCAGCCTGCTCCTGGTCAACAAAGGCTCCATGTTGCTGACCTTCAACCTGGCCCCCCAGAGCAGCTCAGACGTCACCCTGCGGCCCAGCTCCGGCCTCTTGGCCCCTGGGGCCCACCAGATCTTCCTCCTCTGCACCTACCCCAAGGGCACCGCCTGGAAGCAGCACACTTTCTACTTGCAGTTCAATTTTTGCCCCCTGTATCTCAAGGTAGATGAGGCTGGGGACTGCGCCCTTGGGAGTGGGGTTTCCCTTTTCAAAGCCACAGTCAGGCCAGGTGTTGGTCCCTAACATTCCCTTCCAGTGGCCCGAGGCTGCTGCTTCTGCAAGAGGTGTCTTAGCAGGGAGACACTCCTCGGACACAGCTGTCAACAGCTCCTCCACTGCACCCCCCCGGAACCCTCCCTGTCCACTTCATGGGGTCCGGGCAGGGAAAGGGGTTCAGCGGTCCCAAGGACAGGTGGGGCACATGAGAGTGATATCTGCAGGTGGTAGAGGGGTGTGAGGCCAGGAATTGCATCGTGGGCCTGTATGTGGCCCAAGCCAGTCTGTGCCTCCTTCTCAGTCCCTGGATTCTTTTGCAGAATCATTTTCTGGGTCAGTTACTGCCTACTCTGCCTTTGGCAGAAACTGCCCATTCCCAGGCTGGCACAGCAGTCCTCTCCAAGAGGGAGAAGTGTGCCTTGCTGGACATTTGGGGGAGCCAGGGCTGCGGCGTAAGGTCTGGGCACTGCCCCCCACTCTGGTCTCAGGAGGTGAGCATGCAGAGCCGGGAGGAGCCACTGCAGCTGAAGCTCGATACCAGTAAAAACATCTTCTTCAAGCCCACGTGGGTGGGCTGTTCCTCCACCAGCCTCTTCACCTTCAGCAACCCTTCACGTCTGCCCTTGGAGTTCGAGTGGAGGGTTTCCCAGCAGCACCAAAAGATGCTGGCCGTCCAGCCCGCCAGGGGGGTCCTCCAGCCCAATGAGAGCCTTGTGAGTGCCCACCCACTGCCCACTGTCCACTGCACCTTCGAGTGTCTCCTCCTGCCTCTCGGAGGAGGGCTTGCTCCACACGCCACCCCTTCCGTCCAGTGCTACCTGCCAGCCTCAGAAAGAGCTGTGATTGTTCCCATCACCACCATCTACATTTTACAAAGGAGAATTGTGACTTAGAGGAGAAGAACACATTTGGGGGTGGAGCCCAGGATGCTGGAGCCCAGGGATGAGTCCCCTCTCCGCCCGTGGTCCCAGAGCTGAGTGTGCGGCACCTAGGATCAGCTTTGGAGCAGCGGCTTGGGCCCACATGGACGGCTACCGCTGAGGGCAAAGAAGGGCACTCCAGAGATCCCGGGTGCAGTTTGGATGGGCCACGGGTGGGATCCAAACCAGCAGCACCCCTCCCTGTTCTAGAGCCTTCTAGACCAGTTGGGGAGGGCACACCCGGGACAGGAGCCGCCAGCACACAGTGGCTGTGAGAGCTCAGGGGACACTGTGAGGCGGGAGAGCACAGCCAGCTCCTGCCCAGCAGAGCTCGAGCTCCCGACTCCACAGCTCTGAGTCTCCAGCTTCTCATGAGATAACAAGGCGTTAAAATCAAGCCTCTTACTTACCTGGGGGCATATCGAGGAGCTTAGGGAGGGCACAACAGAGGATGTGGGAGGTGCCTGGCTCAAAGGAAACACCTGGAGAGGGCCAGCAGAGGTTGGCACCTGGGGGGGGGGGAGCGAGGGGGGGTGCTCTGGTGGCTGGGGTGCTCCTGGAGGCCCCATGTGGGACCATCTCTATGGCCCCAGACGCTGACATGGACCTTCAGCCCTTTGGAGGAGACCAAGTACCTGTTCCGAGTGGGAATGTGGGTGTGGGAGGCCGGCCTGCCCCCAAACACCAAGCCCCCTGCCACCACCCACTACATGCTCCGGCTGGTGGGCATGGGCATCACCAGCAACCTCGCAGTGAGTGGGCGAGCCCTGGCTGCGGTGGGGGATGGGGTCAGGGCAGAGGTGGGAGGGAAGGCCCGAGGTGCCCCACGCCTGAGGGCAGGGGGTGGGGGCCTGCTGGACCCCTGGCTCCCAGCCCTGCTCCTGCCCTTCCTTGGGGGAGGGGGACGGGGCCAGAGACCTGGGGGAGGCCTCAGCCTGGCCTGGCTGAATCTGGCCCTCAGGCAAAGGAAAAGGAGCTGGACTTTGGGAACATACTGGTGAACAGCTCACAGTCCAAGTCGCTGGTGCTCCTGAACGAGGGTCACTGTACCCTCCACTACCGCCTGTACCTGGAGCAGAGCAGCCCGGAGCTCGTCCAGGGCTACCCCCTCGGTACTCCCCGGAGGGCCCGGGGCTGGGGAGGTGGGGAGTCAGGGGCGCTGCTTAAGGCTGCTTAGCCAGACCATGGTCTGAGGGCAGGTGGGCAGGCCTAAGAACCTGGTGCTTCCACCCGCGAGCTGTGGGCTCCGGGCAGGAGGCTGCCCTCTGTGAGCCGCAGCTTCCTCGCCTGGTAATGGTGGCTCCTACGTCAGGGCTTCGGGGTAGAGCCAAGGGCTCTGAGGTGCCCATGCCACAGACAAGAGTGGCCTCTCTGTCCCGACCTGGGGGGAGGGACTCCTCATTGCTGACGCAGGGCCTGCTCTCCACTCACTGTCTGCCACCCAGGGCCAGGGGTCTGGGGGGAGCGGGAGGAGAGCCGGGGCCTGTCTGACTTGCACTGAGCGCTCCTCCACCCTTGACCTGACCTGGGTCACCTCTGAGCAGCTCTGCAGCTGGACAAGACAGAGGGGAGCATGCCGCCCCGGTCCCAGGACACCATCTGCCTGACGGCCTGTCCCAAGCTCCGCTCCCAGTACTCCTGGACCATCAGCTGCGCTCTCCTCTCCCTCAGAGGTACCCGAGCCTCCAGGGGAGCAGGAGGGCTGGGGAGGGCTGTGTGAGAGACCCGCTCGAGGCACTAGCAGAGTGGGTAGGTGTGCCCCTGGGTGTCCCCGGGAAAGGCCACATGAGTGTGGGGTGTCCGTGCACGGGGAAGAATACAGCGCAGAGAGTTTGGCGGGGCCTCAGCTTCGTCCTTGACATAGCGCGCCCTCGGGCGGCTGGCAGGTGCTGGGGCGGCACAGAGAGGGGCCGAGGGTGTGGACTGGCACCCGGCTGTCTGGGCTGGGCCTGGCTGAGCATTTCTCAGCCCTGTGGCCTTAGGCAGTTGTGTGACCTCCCGGTGCTGTTTCTCATCTGTAAAACGGCGCAGAGGCACAGTGAAGCACCGACACTGTGGGAGGAGGTGGGAGAAGCCCCGTTGCAATGAGTCACATCTGTGTGATTCCACGGACATGCAATCTCCAGAACAGGCCAACGTGTAGAGCCGGAACAGATCCGTGGTGCCAGGGCTGGGGGAGGGGCGGATGGGGACGGCCCCTCGGCACTGGGTTTCTTTTGGGGATGATGAAATGTTCTAAACTTGCATCGCGGTGATGGTAAACGCTGCGACAAACTGGGAATACATGAAAACCACTGAATCGTGGGGTTCTCAGTCCATGAGAGGGCTAATTTTTCAGGATGTAAAACTATATGCATATCCGTAGACAGTAAGATGACATAAATACAATCATACAGCAAGTGTCTCAACAAAGCTGTTAGCCGTCCGTCACTTGGAATCTAACCGGGGTGCACAGTCGAGGCAGTGGGGCGTCTGAACACTTGGGGCAGCGCCTGGTAGGAGGGACGTAGTGGACAAGATGTGGCTGCTGCTACAAAGGCCCAGAACCTGGGGACCGCCTGCTCCTGACCGGGTCCTGGGGCAGGCTGCCCATCTGCGCACCCTGCTCCGGGAAGCTGGAGGTGAGCCCACTCCTGTCTCTCCTCCCAGACAACAAGGTTGGCGAGAGGCGGGAGCTGTGTCGCGTCTTCCTGGTGGCTGTGTACCCCTCGCTCACCATCCTGGATGTCTGCTCCATGGGCAGCACCCAGGGCATCCCCCGGAAGCACCTCTGGCGCCTCTTCTCCCTGGACACACTCAACAGTTACCTGGAGCGCGACCCCACCCCCTGGGAGCTCACCTACAGTGTCCCCACCCGGCACAGGTGAGCTGCGCCTGGGGGAGGCAGGCCCATTCTGGGGTTCTCTTGGCACTTTCTGTCTACGCCCACTGCACCAGGCCTCATGTAGCTCCTCACCCCCCCCCCCAAATTCACACCCTTCCCTGCAGGGGCCTCTGGAAGGCAGGGCTTAACTCAAGGCCTGAAGTGCTAGCCCACGCCACCCCGTGAATCACTTGTCCAGCGAGTTCCCAGCCAGCCACCCCATGAATCACTTGTCCAGCGAGTTCCCAGCCACCCACCCTGTGAGGGCCTGTCCTGCCCGCAGACCCTTCTCTCAGCCTCCTTTCCCCCTCCACACAGCATGAGCCAGATCCCCCCAGTCTTCACCCCTCTGAAGCTCGACTTCAATTTCGGGGCCGCACCCCTGAAGGCCCCACCCTCTGTGGTGCTCCTGAGCCTGAAGAACAAAGGCGTGGTGCCCCTGGACTGGTACGGCTGGCTTGGAGAGGGTACCTGGGGGAGTCAGGGGCTGGAGGCCTTCTCTGGGCACCTGGTGTCTGAGAGAAATGAGGGGCAGGGAGGCCAGGCTGGGACTGGGGCCCCAGCAGGACAGGGGGTCTGTCACTGCCTGAGGCCGGTCCATAGGCTCAGAAGTGGGGGATCACTGGTCCAGGCATCGCTTTGCACAGCCCCTCCCCCAAGCCTCCCTGACTGGTTCCTTCTCTGATGGGAGGCTAAGGGCTCGCGAGGCCTTGACCACTCCGCCACCAGCTGGCAGAGCCAGGTTCAAACCCAGAGGTCTGTCTGTGGCACACCCCACCTGCAAGCACGGTTTCTGGCTGCTCCCTTGTGTCAGACCCTGTGCTGGGCGCTGGGGTACCCTTGACAGAATCCCAGCCCAGCGTGGGTGAGGCCGGCCCCGGGGAGGTGAAGAGCTGGTGGGGAAAGACAGGGGCCAGTGTCAGGGAGACTGACAGGCCTCCGAGGGGCATGGCTGCGCAGAGCCCTGTGAGGCTTTGGGAGAGGTCAGGACTGGCCCGGAGCCCCAGCCCAGGAGGCCCTGTGGGACACCCAAGCCTGCCACGCGGGGCCCTTCCTGTGCCGGGCTTTCCTCTCATCCGGCACTGCCCAGCTCGTGTCCAGCAAGCGTCTGGTTTCCACGCCAAGGCTTTTTCTTATTTTCCCCGGGCCTCTGATGTCCTAGTAAGCTTCCTTTTGATGACTTCCAACCTTGCTTGGCTAGACAGAGGTGAGAAAGAAGGGAGCCAGGCAGGGGAGCGAGGGGCCCCGCCTGGGCATGGCTGCGGGTGGGCATGGTGAGCGTGCGGGCAGGGGCGCCTGCCCTCAGGGGCGCTGCCTGGGAGAGCCGGGGTGCAGCCGTGGGGACCCGTTTGCCCTGGGTTGTCCTGTCCCGGGCCGGCCGGTGGGCGGGCAAGGCAGGTGAGGAGGCTCACTAGGGGCTCCGGCCCTGGAAGGGTGGGCTGTAAGCGAGGGCTGCAGGCCAGTAAGTGAGGCCTCTTGGCTGGCAGGACTGCTGGCACGGCGGGCGGGGAAGGCCAGGGCCCGCCTTGCGCTCTGGATTCGCCATTGACTGCACTCTGAGTGGCTGGGATCCAGGCCCTTCGGGGCTCAGGGTGGGGGTAGGAAATGTGGCCTGGCCTGTGGCCTGGCGTGGAGGGGAGCTTTGGTGGGTAGAGCACGCGTGTGTGTGGAGAGGGTCCAGATAGGCCTGGAAACCGAGGCGGGAAGAGGAGCTGGCCCTTCCCTCAGGAGCATTTGAGGTTCAGGAAGTTCCTCCGTCTGTGCGACTTCCAGGATTCCGAGGCAGGGAGCCTTCCCGGGCATGCTCGGCTCTGCTAGGCGTTTTGTGTTGTTGGGTTTCCTCTGGATTTCTTAGAAGGCTATTTTTGAGAATTCTAGCCCACTTCTGCTGAGCTCATAAGAACAAACTGAAGGTTTTATTCCTGCCAAGACCAGTAAGAAACAGCGAGTGTGGACTTGGCCTGCAGGCAGCGGGCAGGCAGGAGGGAGTGAGCACCCCAAGTAGGAGGGGAAGTGTGGGAGAAATGGAGAGCCAAACCGCTGCTCCCCTCCCTCCCTCCAGCCTTCCCCTTAATGCCCCTGCTCCTGGCCCAAGGAGAGGTGGGGAGAGTCCTTACAGACCTCAGATAGGCTGTTAAAGTCATTTGCTTCCTCGGCACTCATTAAGGCAACGGAAAGACCTTTACTGGGCAGTCGGCACGGGCTCTGACCAGGCCCTGGGATAGAACCAGGAGCCCAGGCCCTGCCTCCCAGGCAACTGGGCGCGGCATGGGGGACACAGCAATAGGCCTAGGAGAAAGGTTCGGCTGAGCTAAGGAGCTAGGCCTGGACCCTGGGAGAAGACATGCTGCAGAGAGCCTTCCAGACACAGCGCCTTGCATGGAGCGGGGTAAGAGAGGAGGGCCCCGTCTGTGGCTGCTGGAAGGAAGACAAGGGCCTGGTGGTCAGAGAAGTGGGCGGCCCCGAGGCTCCCCTGGCCTTCAGTCCTCCTCTGCCTGCGGATTTGGACTTCTTCCGTGTCCGCGGGGCGCCAGCCCGGATGCGTGCAAAGACACGGCTGGCTTTCAGGACCTGTCCCTGCACTGGGGTTGGGGGCAAGGAGAAATGGATGAGCTTTTTGAGGTAGGGTGGGGAGGCTCTGCTGTGGTCCCCGGATGTGGGGCCTCACCCAGATGAGAGAGCTGTCAGGACAAAGAAGGTTGGGATTGTTTGGAGGGAGACAGGGAAGGCGGTGAGGGATGTGGGTGGAGGCACAGAAACTCCCAGAGGGTGAGATCTCCAGCCCTGCGGTTGGTCAGTACCCCCCAGAGAAAATGCAAACGCCGCTTAGCCTCCTGAGACCAATCACTTGTCAGAGTGATGGGAGAAAAGTCAGAAACTCCTCAGCTTCCTCTTCAGGTGCCCCTGCCGGGATGACAGGGTTCGGAGGGTGCTGCCAACCTCAGCACTCACTCAACAGACAGACGCAGGTATTATCGACACGTCACATTGGTTTCAGGTTTGATGCTTGGATCACGATTTACTATCTGTAAATGACTCCTGAACTGCACGCCTGGACCACACTTACTTGCAAATAAAAGCCTTTCCCTTGTGATGAGGACATTTAAGATCAGCCCCTGGCCACTTTCAAATCCGCACAATGGCGTCATGAGCTGTAGTCCCTGGGCCCGTGTCACCCCCTGGCTTGGTGATTTCAGACCTGGAAATTTGGACCCCAGGACCCCTGCACGCATTTTGCTCCTTTCCCAGCTCCCACCGCCAGTGGCGCCCACCAATCCCATCTCCGCACCTGCGAGCTTTGGCCTTTGCTTGCGTTTTAGAGTCCACACCGATGGGAGAGGGGGTGGGATGTGTCCCTCTGTGTGACTTAGGGTATCTATTTTGCGGCCGTGCCAGCCACATCCCCATCACCTCCTGCTCAGCTCGTCCCGTAACAGTTGCATGGATTGTGTCAGTGTGTCTCCTTCAGGTCAATACCCTCGGCGCCAACTCGTCCTTCTTAATGGCTGCGTTATATTCCATCATGGTATGAATGTCAATTTTTTCCCAGCATAATATGAATATCAATTTTTTTATATCTGACATAATATGAATATCATTTTTTTCAGCTATCTTCTCAAAGATGTTATTGAAGCAATGCTATCATAGCATTATTAAGTCTCAGGCGTGCTTCCTTATAAATCAATATCTGCGTTGTACTCCATCAAGTTCACCAGTAAAGGCCCAGCCCTGTCCTCTACCTGCCACTGACTGCTTTCACCTGATTTACCACCAGCCCCACTTCCTCCTCCCTCCTAGTCACCACTCATTTGGCCTTGAAGTCGGGAAGTCTGTTGTTTCATGTGGTTCATTGGTCTGTTTTCCCTATCTACGACAGTGAGTGAAATCATGTGGTGTTTGTCTTTCTCTGACTTAGCTCACTATGCATAATAGGTCCGTCCATGTTGTTGTAAGTGACAGATTTCACTTTTTTAATGAGTTATTTATTTATGCGTACAATAACTGAGGCACAGGCCAGAGGTGTGGGAGGTGAGAGGATCCACCAGCGACAGAGTAGGGAGCAGGACAGGCAGAATGATGAAGTACACTGCTGAGGGGAGCAG